TTAGTTTTCATCTGAGACTTGAAAGATCAACAAGACTGCAGGAGTAAAGTAGGGAGGAGGAGGCAGGGACAATGTACCTAAGAGACAAAAAACAGAATCTGGTTTATTGTTGAATGAGAGGCAGGAGTGGTGAGAACTAGGCAGAGCAAGGATTGGGTCTTATAGGGCTGTTTAATAGTCTTCTGAGCATCTTTCCAGGTGAAGGAGGGAGGGGCAGATATGAATTTTGGGGGGGGTCTTTTTGAGACAGGGTCTCCCTGTAGCCCCTGCTAACCTGGAACTCACTATGTAGACCAGGCTGACCTCAAACTCACAGAGATCCGCCTGCCTCTACCTCCCAAGTGCTAGGATTAAAGGCATGGGCCAACACACCCTACAGATATGAATATTTATAAGCTAAGCGGTGTGAAACCAGTTAGAGAGGCAGTAGAAGACAGGGGAGCAGTCAAGGATTCTCAGAGCTTTAACTGAGACATCTGATCTGCTTACATCTCCCTATTATCTCAGGGCAAGCTGGTCTTCAGGACTCTTCTTTTGGTGGGGAAATTAATGGTTTTCTTGACAACTGCTCCAATGTGCCTTCCTAGCATGACTGATCTATGATTCTCTCTTGGTCCTTAAGAAGATGCTGCCCTCTTCTTCAATAAAAGATTTGGTGACTGTTCCTGCATCTGGCCTTCTCTCCTCTAGGCTGGACAGTCTCAGGTCTTACAAGTCATCCCTGGCGCTGGTTATGTCCTGTCATTCTTGGGGCTGCCTCACAGCCTCTGAATGCCCATGTTAGGGTTATGGGGCTCAGAATGTAGGAACAATGGGAGAGAAAGCAGGAGACCATACCTGACCTCAGACAAGACTGAGTTTATCGAAGCACCTCCAGGAGGGACAGCAGCCTTCCTGAATGCTGGAATCAAATGTTGCTCCCGGGTAGGGGCCATTGGAACTTACATAGGCTATAGCTGTGGCTGGCTGACTAAGCGATCAGGGGCAATCTTGAGATGTTTATGCTCCCCTTATAGGCCCCCCCCTTCCTGGCACTGTTTTCTCTGGTTTATCTTGAGAGGGTTTATGATCTCTTCTGGGGACCATTTGTTCAAGGAGACAGGCTGTTTTAGGAAACAACCCGTCTCAACAAACAGCCCTCTCAGGATGGAGGGAAGTGGCCGACTGATAATGCCAGCTTTCTGCAACCGGGGCATTCTATCAACCCACTTTCTTCATCCAGTATGGACTTCCCAAAAATCACCTTTGCCCCAAAGTTCTGCTTACTTCCAACTTATCAGCCATCTGCTTCTGAGAACAAGCTGGCTCTTGCAACCCGGGCATATATGCCATCCCTCTAGACTTTCAGTTCTCTCCATGGCCCTCTGCAGGAGGGTAAAGGGCAAAGTGTAAGGCAGGTATTTCCTGGTACTGACTTCCCCCAAGATAGGACACAAGGCTGTCCCAGGCAAGACCCTAGCAAAGGCTGAAGAAGATCAGCCTCTTACCTGTACCAGTTGCTCAGAGTCCATCAGGAGCCATGAAAGAGGACATGGGAGGTGGGGCAACCTGGGAAACTGAACAAGACCTTGCAGAGCAGAGTCCTTACTTGGTTGTTAGGCAAGGAGTAGATTCCCAGCAGTGTGTATGACAGCTGGAGGTTTCCTACTGACCTTGGGACACCAACTTTGAGATAAATTAATAATGGGTTGGGGAGCAGCTGGTTGCTACTGATTCAATAATTTCCCAGCACTGAACTTCACAGGCGCATCAGCAAGGGCTGGGGAGATGGCTCAGCTAGTAAAGCGCCACATAAGCATAAAGGCTTGAGCTCAATTCCCAGCACCCACATAAAAAGTCTGGACAGTAGCATATATTTACAACCCCAGTGCCCCAGAGACAAGAGGATCAGTGGCGCTCACTGGCCTACCAGCCTAGCCTAATCATGAGCTCCAAGCCAGTAAGAGACCCTGTCTCTAAAAATAGGACACCCAGGGGCTGGAGAGATGGCTAGCAGTTAAGAGCACTGGCTGTTCTTCCAGAGGACCCAAGCTTGATTCCCAGTACCCACACTATGGCTAACAACCATCTGTAACTCCAGTTCCAGGGGATCTGACACCCTCTTCTGGCCTCTGAGGGCTTTGTATGACACAGATACACTTACATATATGCAGGCAATACACTCATACACATAAAATAAAAATAAGTTAAAAATTGTTTAATATAAGTAAATAAAATAGGACAGACAGCTGCTGAAGAATGACACCCAAGGTTGATCTCTGTCCTCACATACATGCATACCCCCCCACACACATTACACACACATGTGCACATATAGAAACACACTTGCTCGTGTATCCACACATGCATGTGCACCACACACACCAAAAGAGAAAGAGGAGGAAGAAGAGAAAGAAGAGGAGGAGAAGTAGGAGGAGGAGGAGAAGGAGAGGGGAGGAGGAAGACTAGAAGGGGGAGGAGGAGGAACAGGAGGAGGAGGGGGAAGAGCAGAAGAACGAGCATCAGTCAAGGCCCCTAAAACCCATGGCTTTGAAGAGAATTATTGGAAAAAGCCTGGATAACTGGTCAACTAATTTGGAAATACTGAGTTTTGTTCCAGTTCCATCAAAGTAGTCCAAAACAATGGAAGCTGAACCAAGGGCATGGGCACTCTTGGAAATAAACTTGGATTCTCTTGCCCTCGTGCTGTGTACCTCTGGACAAGTAACCTGACTGCTCTGAGCCTACCCTATAGGCTGGTATGGAAAGAGGGGAATTAGGACACAGATTTTACAGGTAGTGAATGTTGTTCTTGGGGAAGAGGCCCCAGCCTCTCCCATGGCCTGAGGCTCTGGAGGAACCACCACAGCTACCTCAGGCCATGAGAGAGGCTTCTTCCTAGGAAAACTAGAATGGGGTATTGTCTTGTGGGTCTGAAACCCTTTGTCTCCCAGAGTTGCCAGCTCTTGCTCTCTTTGCTGGCTCTGTGGGAATGAATACCCCGCCCCCCAAAAGCTGGCTACTGTTTGTGTTACTGTAAATTCCCACCCCACCTGGCCCAGCTCCAGGAGCACTGTATCCTGGGTCTATGTACCCCTCTCTGTAAGGCATTTGGGGTGTCTCTTACATAGACCCTCACAGGATCCAGGAGTGTGTTAGTGACCTAACAGCTCTCAATCCCACCCTGCAAGGTGCACATTCCAACCACTAGGCCCTTCAGTCCTCAGCTCCACATGCTGTGTATTTGTCACACTGTTCCAGGTCTAAAACAACATCCTGCCTTCTTACTCTGGCACCCAAGGGTCAGCACAGTGATGGTATCAGAAACACATATCAAGCACCTACTGTGTGCAGAATGGGCTATGAGGGACTAGGGCACCAAGAGACACAGATTCCAATTAAATAGTTCACATCATGACCAGCTCACCCACCCAAAATACACAACATCGACCTGCCCATCACCCGCTAGACCCTGCTTTGCTCTTCCCCACTAGGTCCTGTGCCCCATCTCCACATACCCCAATGACTTCCACTAGAGCTCCCACACAGGTTGGCACCCTCCTCGGGGCGCATACAAAGCATGTTTGACTTCTGCCTGTCTCTGAGCCTTTGGGCCTGTTTCCCCATTTATAAAATGGAACAGTAACACCTAACATTTTGTACAGTTGATGAAATAGTATTTTAACCAGCTTGGATTAAATGCTGAACAATGTTAGCTGTCACCTCTGAAGGGAGAGACTTCCATTAACTCCAAAACCATAAAGCAATCCTTGCTTTGCAAACAAGCCTGCCCAGGACCCCCATAAACCCCAACCATAAGGTTCTGCAAACAAGCCCTCCTGTGACCCCAGACCCTCATCCATCGGGAAAGATTTCAGACCTTGAGAGTTCTCTACCCAACTCCCATTACTGTTTACATACACACAAGTACTTAAGCTCCCCTGCTATTTGGCCCATGTGGCTACTGCAGACTCCTGCTGGTCAGTAGTCACCCCTCACTGACTATTAAAGGACATTATGGATTCTACTCTACGAGGTTGGTTATTCTTTCCTACCTGTGACTCTTTCGATTTCTAATCCTAATCTGGGGGAGAGTTAAAACTCCTAATTTCCTAATAACCTCTACCTGCAGGATTTTGATCTCTGTATCCCTAGCACCTAACCCAGCACATGATTGGTGTCAAATATTGTAGTGTAGAGGTGTGGAAAGACTGAGTTTGTAAACAGCCTATGAAGCAATTCTTGCTGCTTTCCCAAGGCGGTGGGGGAGGAGGGGGGACCAGGAAGATCCAAAAAGGAACTAATCTTTATTGTCTACCTAGCACACATCAGTGCTCAACATACATAAGAAAAGATTATTGCAGAATGAGGAAGTGGCTAGTGTCTAGGTCAAGCCAGCAGACCTGGATATGAAGGACCCATGACTTAGACAGTTTTCTTGTTACTTACAGGGAGGGAATTTGCTTGCTTGTAGCTCCATGTGCCTAGGCCTCCCTGTGCAGATCTTGGGCTTTGAAACTCCTAAGGGCAGGATGCCTGGATAGGCAGGGCAGGAGTACCGCCTAGCTCCAGGGGTCATGTGTCAATTGCTCACCTGAGAACTTGGCTTTAGGGAAATCAAAAGCTGGAGGTGGGCTGGGCTGGGTGGAGGGCTTGGCTCCTGCCCTGTACAACCCCAGCTTGGGGGGCGGGGGCGGGGTGATTCGCCAGGTCCAGCCCCCCAGCAATCTTCATGCCCAAGAGTAAAGTCTGAGCTTCTTCCTCTGAGCAACCTGAAGCTTTTATTCCTTGTCTTCTCCCTCCCCTGCAGTGCTAAGCCTTCCTGATCTTTACTCCTCCTGCAGTACCTCCTCCTTACTCCCACCTCCTGCCTCCAAAACACTCTGATTGCCAGGGTGGGTCAATAGTTAACACTTCGCTAGCTTTATATAAGCTGCCCCGGGCCACCTGCCTTGCTCTGCTTCTTTGGTTTCCTGGCTCCTGGAGGTGGCTCTGGCAGCCCCAACTGGCTGGTCCACACCATGGCCACCTGCTGGCAGGGCCTGTGGGCCTATCGCTCCTACTTGATTGTGATATGTCTGCCCATTTTCCTGTTGCCTCTGCCCCTCATTGTACAAAGAAAGGTAAGACACAGGTAACTCTAGGGGTGGTGGGAGAGCGATCATCTGGGCTAATGTAGGGCATCCTTAGGACTCCTCCTCCCCTTACCTCCTCTGAAAGTTAGGCTGCCACCTCCTGGTCTCCTGGGAGCCAAAGGGGGCTTCTACAGGGCACCCAGCAGTCGAAGCCCCATGTGAGCTGCTTGCGGGACATTGGAGCCTGCTGCCTTGGGGACTGAAAGCTAATTCCACAAAGGAGACCCAGAAAGGGGCAGATGAGATGATCTGCCTACCCTGTGCCAACCCAGTCCCAGACTAGGCTCAGTGCCAGCTGGGGACAGGAGGGACAAGTGGGTAGCCAGGTTTGGAGAGAATAGGAGAAGGCTGGCTTCAGGTCATTGTGCCTTCCCAGGTAGAAACAGAAAAAGCAGTTCACCTGTGATCTCAGGGGCAGATGATAGGGGTCGGGAGGATGGGACATCCGCTGCAATGTAGAGTCAGAGCACAGAGCACCTGCCTCTTCCTCCACCCCAAGAAGCTGTGGCTTTGCGCTCATTTATTTGAACCTCCCTCCACCCTGTGTCTCCTGACTGCACTGAACACTCTGCCATGTGAGGCAGGTCCCATAGTCCCATTTTAAAGATGAGGAAAGTGAAGGTCAGCTAGTTACTCAGATTCCCTGGACAGATTCCGTGGATCTTGGTTCATACCCCGCCCCCGTAGATTTCTCTGTAAGAAAATGAGCATAAAGCCACGTGTGGTGGCACATGCTTTTAATCCCTACACTCAGGAGACCAAGACAGGCAGATCTCTGTGAGTGAGATCAAGGCTAGCCTGGTCTACATGGCAAGTTCCAGGCCAGCTGTGGTTACAGGAAGATCCTGTTTCAAAAGCTAAAAATAAAAATGAAAAGCATAAAAAAGAAATAAAAACATAAAAATAATAAATCTAATGTTAGCTGGTGGGGACTGGAGGGGAGCTGGGGATATAGCTCACTGGTAGAATACTTGCCTGGCATGTTTAAGGGTCTGGGTTTGATCTCTAACACCAAACAAACAAAACCAAACTTTAATAAAATTTTCTTGGGACTTTGGGAAGGGAGCCCACAGGAAGGTCTTCTACCCTGCACAGTATAGCTGCCTTTGCAAATGAGGGAATGGCTGGGGAAGTGGGGAAGGACTGCCCAATGAGCCATTGCTTGCTGCTACAGATAGGGAAATCAAGGAAGGCTTTTTTCTTTATGGTATCCTGCAGGGAGGAGGCCCAGGACTTGCCCCTGACAATCTGGCAGGTGATAAGGCCTGACTGACCTTTGAGTTGAAATCCTTTTCAGGCCAAGGCCAGTGGTCTCTCTATGCAGGAGGTCTATCTGATAAGTTTCAGATAGGCTTGGACTTGTGTGCCACTACCACTGTCCTGGGAGAAGCACATGTAGCCCAGAAAGGTTCAGTAAGTTGCCCAGGGTCACACAGGAAAGCTTGAGTTGGTGTGAGAGAAGCTGTATTTCCAGGCAGGAGTGCAAGGTGTTAGGAGCCCCAGGCTTTGCTCTACTGTGCTTGGCCCACCACAGCTTTGGGCCCGTAGACTCTGCCTATCCTGTCCTGTCCTGATTCCACCAACGTCCTGAGAGGCCAGGTTCTCTTCAGGGCCTCCCCGCCCACAGCAACTCTCTACTCTTATATGATCAGTTTCTACTTCTTGGTCCTGACCTGGACCACCAGCATATAAACAGCTGTGTTACCTCTCATCTTAAACAAGCAGGACAAACAAGACTCCCCCCTTCAGCCCACATTCTCTCCAGATACACCTGCCTTTTCTGTGCTCCTACCCTACAGCAAGCCTCAAAGATGGTCCCTGCGCACGCGCGCGCACACACACACACACACACACACACACACACACACACACACACGTGCACTGTCTCTGAGACCTAAATTCCCACCAGCTTCCTTGGTACCTAGCTGTGGCCCATGCCCACCATCCTCAACTTGCAGCAGGATCTGTCCCAGCTGGTCACACCCTCTTTGCCACACTGCCTTCTCTTGACTTTGATGACACCTGGTTCCCCATTCCCCCAAGTACCATTCCTGACTCTGGAGTCTTTCCATCAGACTCTGGAGGTTTCTCAGGGTCCCTCATATATATTGCCCCAACTCCTGGTCTATGGTAATCATATGCTGTCTCATGCTTTGAAAAGCATCTCTAAGCCAGGCCTGGTGACACATGCCTTTAGTCCCAGCACTCGGGAGGCAGAGGCAGGCAGATCTCAAAGCCAGCCTCATCTACATAGTAAGTTTCAGGTCAGCTGGGGCTACAGGGGAGACCCTGTCTCAAAAAGACCAAAAAAAAAAAGCATCTCTCTGCCTGGGCCTGGTGGCACACAGCTGTAACCCCAGTATTCAGGAGGCTAAAGCACCAGGTAAGACACTGTCACAAAAAATAAACTCCCTTTTCCCCAAAAAAAGTATCTCTATGCCCACAAGTCCTCATAACCCTAGCCCTAACTTAGACACTTGCATTACCCAACAAACCTGGGACCTTGTCCACTTGAATTTTTCTCTGTAAGCAACCTATGCTTCTTACCATCTCAATCAAAGCCCCAACTGCCATCGTCAGCAGGCTCTCCCCGGCTTCTTATTCACCAACCTGCTGTCTTGTGATGCTAGCCGTGACTCAGGTCTTTTTGGACTGCTTGTTTTCCTTCATTTGTTCACATACCAACAAGTCCTGCGTATTCACTGTCCCCCCAAACCCTATAGATGTACTCGATTTATGATCGGGACAACAAACTCACTACGTTGAGACTATTGTAGTGGAAAACACATTGTGTGAACCTGACCAGTCACCAGCCCAGCAGCACAGCACACAGTGAAGTGTGGTTTGTTGACTCTTCTTACCACTGCCTGTGTTTTGTGGCTTCTCAGGCGCTATGGCTCAATACCATGGTCCAGTATCACCAGAGAGGATCTTACCAAATTCAGAATCCACAGTATATCATTTTCCCACTGTCATCAATTCAGTAAATCACAGATGGAAACACTAGAAGTTGGGGACATCCGTGCTCTAAATGGACTCGATCCCCACGTGGGCGTTGTCTACCCTGACTTTCCTCACCTTTTCCTCCTGCCCTCTTGAGTCAAACTCTGGCCTCAAAACCTAAGATCATGTCACTACCCTCCTTCCAACACTAAACTGGCTTGGAAATCAATTCAAGTCTCTTAAAATAGCCACCAGGGCCTGAGGCTCCTCACTGTCAGACCCCCTCAGACTCCATTCCCTGCTTCCCACCTTTGAAGCCTGCAGCTTCCCTCTGCCCCTGCTTGGGCTCGCCTCCTTCCAGGTTTCCTCTTAAATCTGTCTCAGAAGCCCTCTGTCAGGCGAGTCACTCTTCATTATAGATTACCAAAAATTATTTTTAAAACATTTTATCTATTTTAATTTTATGTGTGTATGAGTGTGGATGCTGGGAATCGAACCTGGGTCTTCTGCAAGAGCAGCCAGTGCTCTCAACTGATGAGCCATCTCTTCAGTCCCTGCAATTTTATTTATAGCCATTCTGTGAAAGTATGTTTCTGGGGCTGGGGAGATTACTCAGTTGGTAGAGTGCTTGCCTAGCATGCATGAAGCCCTGAGTTCAGTTCCCACAACACATAAACCAAATGTGGTAGCATACTCCTGTAATCACAGAACTTGAGAGGTAGAAGTAGAGGATCTGAAGTTTCTGAGACAAGGTTTTGTCATGTAGCCCTGACTGGCCTAGAACTTGCTATGTACACCAAGCTAGTCTTGAACCCACAGAGATCTGCCTTCCTTTGCCTCTTGAGTGCTGGGATTACAGGTGTGCACCACCATGCCCAGCCATGGTGACTTTTAAGTATTATCTGTTTACTTTCTGCTTATTCTCCAAGGCTAACTCTGCACACTCTTGTGGCCTGATGCTCAGAAAACACTTGCTAAATGAAAAAATGAAGGAATGTGGGTGAAGAGGGCCTTTTCCTGAATTCCTGTTGCGTCTTCTCTCTGTAATAGCCCCCAAGCTTAGCCTCCTGGCTCCTGCCCTCAGCATGCACAGAGCCCCAGCCAAGGATCAACCCTCTGTAATAAAATTGTTGACATTTGAGTGCATTTGATGCACCCGGCATTGGACCAAGCACCTCAAAGCATTAGCTTGCTTGTTTCTCACAGAAGCCTCTGTGTAACTATGAAGTTACTGCTGCTGTCTCCATTGCATAGGCATGTAAACTGAGGCCCAGAGGATGACATGACTTGCTTACAATGGCAACTAGAAAAAATGTTGAAGCTGGAATCTGATCTTGGGGTCTCTGTCTGAGGCTGTCTAGGAGAGCGAGGTCACGCCCCTCCATTGCAGCCCCTCTCAAGTCTTCCTCCTTCATGACCACATACCCAGGACTTCCACTTTCCTAGCACTGATATCTGTGGTGTCTTTGCTCTTTCCCAGGGGTTACTCGACAGAATACAGATGTTCTGTCCTCAAGCTGATTATGGTCAGAGGAGGAGGCAGGTGTTTGTGCCTACAGATATAACAAGAGTTCCAGCAGGAACCACTTCTTCCAAGGGGTCAGAGGAGAATCTGATGCAAGTGGGTGGAATCTTTTGGAGGTGAGCCTGCATCTGTCAGAGGCCACAGAGGGCAGGCCAGGAGGAATAGCACAGGGCCAGCAATAGCCATTGTATGAAAGGATGGCAACAGACCCCTTGAAATGCTCCCAGCTGAGAGAGTATACAGTAAGGCCTAAAGCCTTCTTCCTGCACCCTGGACCTGCAGGCCAAAGCACCACCCTAAGCTAGAAACCCCACATCTACTCTTCCCTCTTCCCATCCCTTCCCTTATGGGTGAACCTCTTGGTACTACATGACAGGTTATCATTTAGGTGTTCTGGAAAGAGGATTTGGGAGAGCTGGCATTCCTATGGGTGGTGGGGGAAAAGACACAAAAGTGTGTACTGGGCCAGGTGTAGTGGTACATGCCTTTAATCCCAGTACTCAGGAGGTAGAGGCAGGCA